GCCTGGCACCTAGTCAGGCTCAACAAGTGGCCACTGCTTTTGCTCTGATTTTTTTAAAACACCTGGCTGCAGACCAGACACTCAGAGGCTGGGGAAAGGCCTGGGGTCCGGGTGGACAGGGAGGGAGTGGAAGCCTAAGCTGAGTTGGAAGGGGAGGGGGATGTGGCTGGATGGGGAAAGGAAGGCCGAGCGGAATGAGGGGCGCTGGCCAGGAGCCTGGACTGGAGGAGGGGACTAAGAAGCCCGGCGGGGGCTGGGGCTGTAGCTCCGGGCGGAGCGCTCACCTAGCATGTGTGAGGCACTGGGTTCGGTCCAATACCACGTAAAAACAAACAAATAAGGGCATTCTGTCCACCTACGACTACAAAAAAGAAAAGTGCCCATCAAGAGGTGGGCAGCCGGCGCCCCCGAGACCCTGGGGGTGGTGCCTGGCTGCGGGTCCGGCGGAGGCCCCGCCCCTCCCGGAGGCCCCGCCCACTCAGGCCCCGCGGGCAGGATTTGCCCAGAACCCACTTCAAAGGGGCCCAGGAAGCGCTAGCGAGCCTCAGAGGAAGCGGCAGAGCCTCTAATCCAGCGCAGGGGTGGGGGAAGCCCCGCAATTACCGAGGGGTTTCCTCCCGCGCCCCCCCAATCCTGGAACATTTAAAGTTCCCTCCATCCTCACCTCGTACCGCCTCATCTCTGGGAGTGGGGACCCCACGGTGCTGAGCAAAGCTTTTATTCAGCAAAACCTCACCTGGAAAGTGGAGCAACCAGTGCCCACCTCTTGCGGGGGTAATGAGAAAAGGGGTTCAGCGCAGAACCGTCGTGAGCACTTCCCAAGTGTTGGCTGCAGCGACAGAATTTTGCTGCTGCAATTGCGGAATGTGTTCTTTTGAACACAAAAGTCGCCGCGTGCGCGCGCAAACTGCAAACGTTTGCTGAGCACCTAACCGTGTGTTAGGCACCACTGGGGCTGGCAAGATGGAGGAAAGGGAGCCTCTGTTCCTCCAGGAGCTCCCTACCTGAAGGGGAGGGAGTTATAAGATACTATGGGAGCAGAGTTTGTTGCAGGATGAAGCTATTTATTTGGCCCCAGGGAGCCCAGTTGGCTTTTCAGAAGTGACTTTTGATTGTAAAAGCAGCAATAGCTAAGATTTAATGCAATCACTGAGTGCCAGACACTGTGCTAACTAAGCGCATTAGCTACATGATCTCCTGTAATCCTAGCAGCATCCCTGGAGGGTGGAAACCATTTTTATCTTGCCCATTTTACAGACTATGCAGCTGAGGTCACACAATTGGTTACATGGTAGAATTCAGGTCTGCTGGACCCTCCACCCATCCGTCCACTTGCCAAGACTATCTTGGGTGCACAATATAGACCAGGCACTCTCCTACACTATGGGGCTCCATCCTCCTGTGCTCCACCAAAGCAGGTCAGGAAGAATGAGTGGGAGCTGCTCAGATGGAAAGAGGATCCAGGGAGAGGGTACAGCTTGGACAATGGCATTCAAGCATGAAAGCACATGGTGTGTTCAAAAGGAGCAGGCAGACCTGGCTCTGGGGCAAGACACACTTAACCCTCTAGTGCCATCTCTGTGGTGTACGAGTCATGTAACTTCAAGTGAGTTGGTTCTCTTCTCTGAGCCCCACTTTTTCCAAAATGGGGTCAATATTAGGTTTTCCTCTAGGGCTGCTGGGAGGATTAAATGAGTTCCCATAGATGGAGTGGCTTGGCATACAGCAGACCTTTGAGAAACATGGATTGAAGTAAGTAGAGGAAACTGATTCAAAATGTCATCATCGAAGGTGAGCATCTACCCAGTGAGGCACTATTCTGACTAGTGCCAGGAATGCAGAGGGCTGGGAGATTCATCCCCTGCCTCCAGGGATCTTCACAGTTGAGTCAGGGATAAGGTTCGGTTCAGAGGCTCGAGAAGGCAAAGAAAAATTCACTTGGCTGAGACTAGAGTCCTGACTGGCATGTAGCCTGTGGCTCAGGGGCAGGCATGATCCCTGGGGTTTCTCTGAAGAGGTGATCCCTAGACTGTAGAGTGGGCAGGGGGCGGCCATTTGGGTTCTGTAGAATTCAGAGACAGTGGACAAAAGAGATGCTCACAAGGGTGTGTGCTGGATCCAGACTAGAATCCCAGCTACAACTTTCACCAGCAAGGTTGCTTCTTGGCAAAACCGATACAGTAACAGTGCCCACCTCTTAGGGGTAATGAGAACCAAGGGGTTCAGTGTGGGAGAAGTGCTGAGAACCAGGCCTGCTGCGCAGTAAGCACTTTATAAGTTTTGGCTGCAGTCATCTTTTCTGATAGTGTCTGGCTCTTGGCCAAAGGCAGGCGCAGATCAAAGGTGGGGTGGGTGAAACCAAGGCTCCAGCGTTCAGCCTGCTAATCTGTTTGTGCCCAGCCAAGTCCTAGCAGAGGTGAGCACCTGCAGGGGCAGATGAGGCAGGCACTCTCCTCTCCTTCTCTGTCTCTCTCTTTCGCACATACATACGCTCAGATTCTACCTGCCTGTACCAAAGCTTTGCCCGCTGCAGTGGCTCTTAGGCCCTGAGGGCTCTTCGGGGCCTTTATAGGTAATTCCATCTCCATTAGAGCTGATTATGTCACAGTAAATACCACATTTCCATGCCGCTTTATAAGACTCACTGGAGAACTTTCCTCCTTAGCATCCAGTCACCCAGAGCCAGAGACTGACTTGGGACAGGAAAAGAAGAAGGCTGAGTTAACAAGTGGGTGACTAAGGGCCAGGGAGCTTCCCCCACCCCACACCCTCCTGCCACCTCACATATCTTCCTTCCCACAGGCTCATGTCACAGGCTGTTAAGTGAGCACCATTCAGTACCAACACATACTGCTGGGCACACAAGCCACAGCCATGGGGACCTGCCTGACACCAGCATGGGTGGGTCCAGGCTTTGGGGGCTGGACACATCCAACACATAGAACCTGCAAATGGCATGTAACACATGTACAAGCAGGGTCTTTTTTTTTTTTTAATGTGGTGTTGGGGATCGAACCCAGTGCCTCACACATGCTAGGTGATTGCTCTACCTCTGAGCTATAACCCCAGCCCATACAAGCAGGATCTTACAAACAACTCCTATGAAGTCTTCCATAAGCCAGTGTCCCCAGCCCAGTAAACATGCAGAACACTCACCATACCACACATATTACGCACACGCACGTGCCCATGCACGTACCCTGTGCACACCGCATGAACCACCCTCTCCAGATGGGACTTCCTTTTGCTGAACCACATGTATCAGTAATGACGGCTGAGATTGAACTGGCGCTTTCTGACATCCCGCCTGTGTGGCTTACACACATGACCTTATCTGATCTTCACAGTCACTCTCCCAGATAGGCTTCCCAAAGAGCAGACTGAGGCTCAGAGAGCAGAGATAGCCTTTCCAAGCCTGAGTACTCAATCACTGTGTGCATGACACACTCACACAACACATTTAGAACAAACCCTCTCACACGATACGTACATCAGCACCCATATCCACATGCACACCCGCAGTCAAACACAACTTTACACACTCACACACATACATTTCCTCTCATGACCACATACTCTCACACACACTTATAAATCAACACTTGCGTCTACGCTTACAAATGCATACACACTCACCAACATGTCTCCACACACACACACATATCAGTACTTACACCTATACACATCCACACTCAAACACAATCGCTCCTCTCATGGACACTCACACACACACTCTCGGAAGCCCAAGGCTCCCCTCTCATCATCTTGATCAAAGGCTTTAATTAATCCCAACACCTGTAATTAACCCTTCCTCTCCCCCTCCAGGGGAGATGTCCAGACCCGCTTTGCAAGGGCAGAGGCCAAGACCAAGCTGTCCACATCTGGCAGGAGGACCTGGGTACCTGAGTAGCCCAGCATGGCTGTTGGTCCATGGGAGTTGAGGAGAGGCTGGGGTCAGAGAGGAGGCGAGCAGAGGGCAGCTTGGGAAACCAGACCAGCTGCAGCTGTTCCTTTCACACTGGCCAAATGGTGACAAGGCAATAGGCATCTGGGGGCGGCTGGGTGGGTGGCCACTGGCTGGGCAGTCAGTTGAGAGGACATTTCCCATTTGTTCCTCAGCCACTTCCATCAAGAGGGGAGGTTGTGAACTCACGTCTGAGGGACCTTTGAGGAGAGGCCCCTGGAAGGGACAGGCAGGAGGCAGGTGTCCTCCAAAGTGTCAGAACACACCAACTTTATCATGCCAGGGTCAGGGAATGAAGGGTGTTAAGCTCAGCCACCCTCCCAGAGTGCAGCAGGGGTTAAAGGGGAGGCCACCAAATCCAAACTTTGCTTCTACTACCTGTGAGTTATGTAATCTTCGGGCATGGGGTACAAACTCTGTAGCCTGAGTTTTCCTCTTCTAAAAAAGTGTGGACAATGATGGCTGCTTCCTAGATGAGAATTAAATCAGGGCATGTCTGACCTGTTCCCCGAAGAGGGTTGCTCCTAGATCCCAGTAAGCATAGAGGCTCCTGAACAAAGGAACTCTCCTTGTCCTTCCAGGGTCTGGTGCACCCTTTAGAGGTCCCAAGATAGAAGGCATCCGGTTTATTTCAGGCCTCCTCTCCCAGGACTGATGCTAAGGAGGCAACTATTTCTTGGACATCCGGCCCATTTCTGCCTAGACTGAGGCCAACGTTGAGTTCAGTCACAAAAGGCAAAGGACGAGCGGGGACGGCTCAGCACACGTTTGGGCCGAACATCCTGGATTCCGAGATCCCTGGGGACTAGCGCGTGGGGGCGCTGATGCTTTGAGACACGCAAACACTGGAGCGCCTGGGGGGCGCCGGTGAGTCCAGAGGGCCCCAAAGTCTTACCCAAACCCCTCTGGACTTTCCCTCCCTCCCCTCGGGATGCCAGCCCGGCCCCTTTAAAGACATTCCTGGGGGCGTGGCTTGGGTGACGTCAGCGCGGGGCATGAATGAACAGGAGCGGGTTCTCACCCAACTTCCATTAAGGACTCAGGGCAGGAGGGGCAGAAGTTGCGCACCGGCGGGCGAGCGGGCGGGCGCGAGCCGGACTCCGAGGCCTGCGTACGCGCGTGCGGGCGTGCGGGAGCCGGGCGCCGGGGATCTGTCCCGGAGCGAGGAGCGCAGCATGGAGCGCCGGACAGTCGGCGCCTGCCTCGCCCTGCTGTGGGGCTGCGCGTTGGTGGCCGCGGCGGCTCAGGGCAAGGAAGGTGAGCGTGTGAGGCCGGACCCTGCCCGGCGCCGGGACCCCTAGACCCCTGCTCCTCCTGGAGCCGCGCGTACTCTAATGCGCACAACTTTGGAAACCGACCAGGTGCTGCCCAGTCTCGGCGCGCTGGCGTCCGGAGGGCGCGCGAGCTGCGATCGGGACGAGCCTGGGGCTCCTCACCGGGATTATAGGGGCTATGGAGACTAAGGGGTTTCGGCTCCGGCGCGCGGGACTTGGAGGCCTCGGAGAAAGGGACGCAGTGCCAGTGCGGGCCACGCGGTTGCAACCGGCTTCAGGAACGCGTCCCGGCGGGGGGGCGCGGGGGTCCCATGGAGAAGCGGGTGTCTAGGGAGCCTTTCCGTGGGATCAACTTCTTAGTGGCTTGAATTCACTTAACTCACTTGTCCCGATTTTGCGGAGAGGGCATCTGTGGAGGCCCGGTTTGGGGGGAGGGGGCTCCTCCACGGGCCGGGGGGGCCCTAGCCGTAGGTCCTGCTTCTTGAGATTTTCTGTATGCTCCGTTTTGCCTCCAGTCCCAGCAGTGAGCCCGGGGAGAGGCTGGGGTCACTCCTTACCACGCACGCCCTTCTCTCCTTTCCCAAACCGCACTCCGAACTCCAGGACAGGTCAGGGGAGCTGGGAGAGAAGACAGGAAGTCCCAAAGTCAAGTGTTCTGAGTAAGGGGTGACTCAGAACGAGGAAATGCGGCAGGTGGGGGCGCGGTCTCTCAAGGTGTGGAGCCGTCACCCCAGAGCCACCAGGGAACCTGGACTCACGGGGGTGGGGGATTGAATCACCCACCTCCGCCCCAGCGTTTGTGAGCCGCGCTGGGTGAGGGGCCGCAGACTTTGTCCTGGGCGGGGCAGGTGTGTGGATGGGGGCGTTGCCTCTCAGCTAGGGTCGCTGAAAGGATGGGGGCTCCTGCCCTTGACCGAGGACCTTCCTGTCCACCCAGCCGCGATCGGCTGCCGTTCCCAGCAGAGAAAACAAGTTTTCCTCGCCTGCCAAGGCTGAGCGCGGCTCCCACAGGCTCCACCAGGGGAAGCCCGGGAGGAAATCCTGGGCCGGTGAGAAGTTGCCTTGAGCCCTGCGGTCGCTCCTCCTCCAAACTGGAGGTTTTGCTCTTCCACGTTGGGAGGATAAAGAGGACCGAGCAGCGCTCTAGGGGGCCGGTGGTTGGGTGTTTGGGGGTCACATCCCGTTCCAGTCCCTAGGGCAGACATGAACTCTGGTCGCAGCTCAGAGCTCTAGCGGAGTGCTTGGCAGGGATTTCTGCGACCCTCAATACGCCCTCTCTTGTGATCCTCCCCCTTCCAGGGGGACTGTGGTTGGAGGGAAGGGGAGAGACAGCTGGAATCAGTACCGGCCTCTCTCCAGGCTGCCAGCGGGTGGGGGGATTAAACTGTTGTTTTGGGCCCCAACCCCCAGCCACCCCTGGGGGAGCTTGGAACTCCCTTCCTTGCCCTCTGCCTCTGTATGTGTCTCTCCCTGCCTATGCCACTAGCCCAGAGCCCCATTACCACCCCACATAAGATGGAGGGGAAAGGACAGCATACTGTACTGGGGTGGGGGACTGAGAGCAGCTTCCTGGGGTGCTGTGCCTATGTGGGATGGAGCGGGGGTCAACACCCGGCTGGCAGCTGCTGGTTTTGGTTTCCTTTCTTTTTTTTCTTTTTGGTGCTGGGGATTGGACCCAGGGCCTTGTGCATGTGAGGCAAGCGCTCTACCATTAAGCTGGGTCCCCAGCCCTGGATTCATTTATTTGGGATTCACGCTGGATGCACTGTGTCTGCCCTGGGGAGGTTTGGAGAGAGCTAGGAGGCCCCCGGGGCCTGTCCACCCATGCTGCTCTGATTCTCTTTCTTTCTTGCCCCCACCCTTGCATTTGGAGGCCCAGGTGGAGCCTGCTAGGTCCTCTCTTCCACATCCATTGAGTTAACCCTCCTTTACAGATGGGGAAACTGAGGGAAGCCTGATGCTTGCCAACCAGGGCCCTCTGCACAGAGGGTCAGACCCCAGCACCTGGGCAAGAATCTCTCACCTTGCTCTTGGTGGATTTTGCTGGAAAGCTAGCATAACCCAGGATCCTGGTGGCCAGGGTTGTTGACCTGGAGTGTTGCCCATAGGAAGGGGGCCAAGCAATGCCTGGGGCCTGGGGAGTCCTGGGCTTCTTAATTCTGTTGGGGCCCTGTCTGCTCTTTGTCTACCCTTTGACTCCCTCCCTATTTTTCTTCCAGGACCCTAGCCTCCTGCTTTCTTAGGCTTTAGGGGTGAGCAGGGAGAGGGCAATGGGGGAGTGGGTGTTAAGTACTGCATTTGTAGGAAAATAAGTAAAGCAATATGGACCCAGGGTGGCACTGACAGAGGAACTTCAGGTAGAGGAAGGCGGTTCTTCCGGGGGTGTTAGTGGGGGGATAGAGGATAAATGGGTAAGGCCCCAACTGGGCCAACCTCTCAGTGAAACTCTAGGGGGCTAAAGAGCTCCTAGACTCCCCACTAGAAGCCCAGCTCATGGCCTGGGGGAGCTCAGGGAACCCAGCCAGCTCTAAACTATGGGCTGGGCTCCCCTTGTTCCTGGTGGTTGGTTCTAGGGAATTTCCTGGGAGGGGGCTGGGGCTGGAAGCCTCTGGGGAGGCTCCTTCCTGGTGAAGGCTTCTTTTCTTCTCAGATTGATCCCTGAGATACTTCTAGAGCCCGACCCAGGTTGGAAGGGGCGGGGCTTCTGTGCCAGGTTAACCCTTCAGAGCCATGATCTCACTCCCTGGGTGCAGACTGCAGGTTCCTGCCCACTGAGTGTGTGTGTGTGTGTGTGTGTGTGTGTGCGCCCCAGGAGCACCCACCTTGTCTTCCTACCTACCCAGTTGGAGTCAGGAGCCCCCAGATTCCTTCCTGTATAGCTAGGACATTCCACTTGCTAGTGGAGTCACTGACTTTCCAAACCTGGGCCCTGGACATGTCTGAACAAATCCCTGTCCCTCCCCCTGCCCCCGCCTGTGCCATGGGGCTTGGTGCCACATGGATTTCCTCTTCCCTGTCTGGACTGCTGGACCCTTCCTAGAGAGATTTGAACAAGGTCAGCGGTCAGGGTGTCAGGGCCTCATACCAAGCTTCCAGCCTGCAGGACAGAGGGGGGAGGCTAACCTCAGAGGAGGGCTTGCTATTTATTTATTATAACATCATTAATTTTTGTGGTATTGGGGATTGAATCCAGGGGTGCTTTACCACTGAGCTATATCCTCAGCTCCTTTTTTTTCAAAAATTTGAGACAGGATCTTACTAAGTTTCCCAGGCTTGGCTCAAACTTGCCATCCTCCTGCCTCAGCCTCCTGAGTGGCTGGAATTACAAGGTGCACTCACAATGCCTGGTGGCCTTTTTAATTTTATATTGTTATCCTTTCATTACCCCTGGGATAGAACCCAGGGCCTTGCACTGTGCTTTACTGCTAAGCTACTCCCAGCCCAAGGAAGAGGTTTTCAGCTGCCCTCAGGGCCTCCAGGCGTTCAACTCACCTCTCATCTTTCCAAACAGGTGACCTGGCTTGCAGCCTGCCTGGTCTCCCAGGCTTAGGGCTGGAGGAGGCCAGATCCTCAGGATTCCCCGCTGCAAGTGTCCTTGGTCCCTTCCCTTCCACCTTAGGCCTTACCTTCCAGTACCTGGCACTTGTATAGGTTCTAAGCCTCAGTTTCCCCAATCTCCTTGCCCTCTATTGAGGGTGGCCCTTGGTGACACTACCTGGACTTTATTTAGAAATAGAGAAGGGACAGTGACTTGGGTCTTGGCTTCAGCCACTGACTCTGGCGCAGAACCAGGGGGTGCTCCCGGGAGGTGCTCCCGGGCAGGGCCGGCTCTAGGGAAGCCCCTGGCAGTGGGTCCCTCTGCCTGGCCCTGGCACCTGGTCCCTCTGGGCCTGGAAGTCCCCCACCAGGGTTCTCCTTCTGGCACTCCTGGCCGTGGCAACAGGAGCAACTTTCCCAGGGCGGGGACCTCAGCAGCTGTGTGTACCTTGGGGCCCCTCCTAGAGGCCCCTGTGGGCTCAGGGCTTTACCCCGCCTGCACTGTGGCTTTTGTGGTGGGAAGATCCATTTCCAGCCCCTCCCCTCCCCCAGAGCAGTTTCCACCTGTTAACAGTGCTCTCTTGGGGCGCCAGGAGACACGTGTGTTCATGCATGTGGGCTTGTGTGTGCTGTGTGGCCTGGGCTGGGGCTGGGAATTTTATGCTGGAGGATGTCATAGAAGCAGACACCAGTGTCCCCAAGGCCCACGTGTGTGAAGTGCTGCCTGGGGGCCTTGTTCAAGGAAGCAGAGGGGCTGGCCGGGTGTTACTTAATACCCCTGCCCACCCCTGGCTCTGCCCAGCTGCTGCTCTCCAGCTGGGTTGAGTCCCTGTCTGCCTGAGAGGACAGCAGGGCTTGCAGCCCTGGCCTGGGAGAGAGGAGGCCCAGTCCTGACCCCGGCCTGCTGTGTGACCTCCACAGCCCTGTCCCTTCTCAGGTCAAGGCCCCTTTGGGTTCCTGGGAGGCCTCTCCCCTTTTCTGCCATGGTCTTTCTCTCCCCTGGAGACGCCCCCGTGCTCACGGCTCCCTCCCCTCTCTCCTGCAGTTGTCCTGTTGGATTTTGAGGCAGCGAAAGGAGAACTTGGCTGGCTCACACATCCCTATGGCAAAGGGGTAAGTAAGCCAGCGGGGCTGGGCCTGGTGTGAGAGCTGGGCTCTGGGTCCCTGGGATCAGGGAGGATGGGGCCTGGCTGGACTCAGCCGCTGGGCCAGGCTTCAAGCTCGTGTTGCTTCTTGCATCCGACAGCTCAAGGCTGGCTGGGGTGGGAAGGTAGGGCAGGGCCGGGAGGTGGGGGCTCTGGGGAGACGCCGAGGGGCTAGCAGAGCAGGACCCTTGGATGCCCCAGAAGGGCTGATGACCTGAGGGAATGTTTGGCTTCCTCCATCTGCCTCTGGGGAGGGAAAGAGTTGACAACTCCCCCATCTTGAAGATCGCAGATGAGGAGGTGAGGGGTGAAGGAGGAGGGCTCCCCACAACTCCAGGGACAGGGAGCAATTTGCCTTCTGCCTGTCCTGCCTCTCTGCTGCCCCTCTTTGACCAAGATTGATGGCCCAGAGGCTAGGGTCCCTTCCCCAGTTTTGCTTGTGAACTTTCCTGTGATATTTTTTTGGGGTACCAGGGATTTAACTCAGGTGCACTCAACCACTGAACCACATCCCCAGCCAAATTTTGAATTTTTATTAGAGACAAGGTCTCGCGAAGTTGCTTAGCACCTTGCTGTTGCTGAGGCTGGCTCAGTGATCCTCCTCTCTCAGCCTCCCGAGCTAGTGGGATTACAGATGGGTGCTGCTGTGCCCGGCTGCCCTGTCATCTTGGGGCAGATGCTGGTGCTGCTCTTGAGGGACCCCGTTTCCTCCTCTGTACAGTGGATTCCTGCTGAATTTGTCCTGGTGCCCTGAGTGGGCAGGGGGATTCAGGGGGCTCCTTGGCACAGTTCCTACAGCTGGTTTCATCTGTGACCTGGGTAACTGTCCCAGGCATAGCTCCAGCAAGGAGCTCCCGGGAGGTGCTCCGGGGCAGGGCCGGCTCTAGGGAAGCCCCTGGCGGTGGGTCCCCCTGCCTGGCCCTGGGGTGTAGCTCTGAGTGGATTTCTAGGGTCCTGGAGTGTGCAGCCGGGAGGCAGAGCCTCTAAGCCAGCCCAGTCCTAACAGAATGGGAAACAGCCTAAGGGCCTCGGGGCCTTGGCCAGTGCCACCCAGTGCTGGCCCGGCCTCTGTTCTCGTCCGCTCTGCTTTTATTCATTTACTCACTCAGTCACTCCCTGAGCACCTGCTCTGTGCCACAGAGGCCCTGGGGATAGAGATGAATTAGATGCAGTCCCTGCTCCAAGGAGCTCAGAGTATAGCTTGGAGCTAGGGTGGGCATCACTGTGTGCCAGGTGCTATGACAAAGGAGACATGGAGACTGTAGGAACCAGAGAGAGGGGCTTGGCCCAGCCTGGGAGGGCTTCCTGGAAAAGGCTGCGCTCTGTTCTGAGGAGGGAGGAATGCATGTTGATCTGTTCCAGGGCTGAGATCAGGATGAGGGAGCTCACCCACTGCCTGATCCCACCCTCTCCCTGCCACTCACACACATGGACCCCCCCCCCCCCCACCAGTGACCAGTGACAAATAGCAGTGATCAGGCAATGAAGGCTACCACGCCAAGTGCCGTGTTGGGCATTTTGTACACATTCTGTCATTTATCCTCACAGCAGCCCTGTGAGTTTTGGGGTCTTGCACCCCATTATATAGATGGGGACATTGAGTCTCAGAGAGCTTAAGTGACCTGCCTGAAGTCACACAGAGCCCCATATTCCACCCTGGGCTCATGATCTCAGGTTCAGCACTCTGACATTAGGGTCAGAAAGGCCAAGGGTGAGATCCTGGCCGGAGGGCTCCTGGGTGCTGCTCTCCAGGCCACAATACCACCTCCCCCACCCTGCTCTGCCACCTGGGCCTCAGTTTCCCGCTGGTGCCACCCACACTGACCTGTTGACCCCCCACAGTGGGACCTGATGCAGAGCATAATGGACGACAAGCCCATCTACATGTACTCCGTGTGCAACGTGGTGGCCGGCGACCAGGACAACTGGCTACGCACCAACTGGGTGTACCGCGGCGAGGCGGAGCGCATCTTCATCGAGCTCAAGTTCACGGTGCGTGACTGCAACAGCTTCCCCGGTGGCGCCAGCTCCTGCAAGGAGACCTTCAACCTCTACTACGCCGAGTCGGACGTGGACTACGGCACCAACTTCCAGAAGCGCCAGTTCACCAAGATCGACACCATCGCGCCCGATGAGATCACGGTCAGCAGCGACTTCGAGGCGCGCAACGTGAAGCTGAACGTGGAGGAGCGCTCCGTGGGGCCGCTCAGACGCAAGGGCTTCTACCTGGCCTTCCAGGACATCGGTGCCTGCGTGGCTCTGCTGTCTGTCCGCGTCTACTACAAGAAGTGTCCCGAGCTGCTGCAGGGCCTGGCTCGCTTCCCCGAGACCATCGCAGGTTCCGAGGCACCCTCCCTGGCCACCGTGGCCGGCACCTGCGTGGACCACGCTGTGGTGCCGCCAGGGGGCGAAGAGCCCCGCATGCACTGCGCGGTGGATGGCGAGTGGCTGGTGCCCATTGGGCAGTGCCTGTGCCAGGAGGGCTACGAGAAGGTGGAGGACGCCTGTCAGGGTGAGTGGTGGTCCTGGTGTCAGGGGAGGGGGACGTGCGGGGATTCTCTTGTGGAACTTGGACGGCCTTTGTGTACAGCAGTTTCCTTATTTATGGTTAGGCTAACTTAACGATCAAGAATGAATGAATTGGAGCCAGGCGCGGTGGCATAGGCCTGGAATCCCAGCGGCTTGGGAGGCTGAGGCGGGAGGATCAAAAGTTCAAAGCCAGCCTCAGCAAAAAGTGAGGTGTTAAGCAACTCAGTGAGGCCCTGTCTCTAAATAAAATACAAAATAGGGCTGGGGATGGGGCTCAGTGGCCCCTGAATTCAATCCACCCACACCCCCGCCAGTACCCCCCCCCAAAAAAAGAATGAATGAATTGAGAAAGGATCCTAGAGAAAGAAAGTCTAGCTTCAAATCCCAGCTTTCCGTTTAGCTTGTGTGACTTCAGACTGTTTGCTTAACCTGTCTGTGCCTGGGTTTCGTCCTATGTAAAATGGAGGTGATTCTAGTATCTCTCTTGTAGGGTGGTTATGATAATCAAATGACTTAATACTCATAAAGTGCTTAGGTCAGTGCCTGACACATACTTTTAAGCATAGCTGTTATTCTTGGCTGTTCCCACGAATAGTTCCTGAGTATCTGCTCTGCATCAGCCCTGTGAAATAGTCCCAGGAATTAGTTCACTTCTGTTGGTTATTCCCTGTGTGTCCTTTAGGCAAGTCACTTAACCTCTCTGGGCCTCAGACTCCTCTTTGATAATTAGAGGTAATTGAATTGGACCCAGGGTTTGCATTAGACTCACCTGAAGAGTTTTTGACGCAGGCTTGTGTGGAAGGAACAGTGGAGGGGGACACAGGGTCTGCCCTTCTCACCTGATCCTGCCCAGGCCACAAACACAGATGAGCCTAGAAAAGGGACCAGTTAATTCAGATTCTGGGAACTGGGCTTGTGCATCAGTGAGCTCAGGGAGGCTACGGCTTGGCAGGGCCAGGCCTGTGACAGCGGAAATCTACACCCAGGTGAACTTTCAATGGATGACGCCTTCTGGAAGTAGCTGTGGGGCAGGGCATTTGAGGAATGCGGGTGACCTTTGCAAGGCCCACTCATCCTTCTCTCTCACTGAGATAAGCTAGGTGTTGAGAAATCAGCTTCGTCCCTGCACATCCCCGCTAGTACCTCCGGTAAACCTCGTCTCAGCTCCTGCCTTGAGTTTCCCATGAGTTAGATGAAAGACTTCAACATCACGCGCAGAGTGGATGCTTGGTTTCTAGCATGGAACTTGCACCCATGAAAGCAGCTGAAGTGTTGGGGGACCTCAGAGCCCTTCCTGAGAGGGTCCACATACTCCTCAAGGCCAAACCTCAGAATCTTGCTTAACCCAGCCTGAAAAATCCTGGGTGACAAGTTCCTAGGAGTCATTTGCGTGTGGTGTGTGCGGTCTCTGCTTCGGCCCTTCTCATCTCCCCCTTGTCCTCCCAGCTCCCCTCTGCTGACGGCCCCCTTCCCCAGGCGGCCCCTGTTTAGGTGACCTCAAATGCTCACTCTCAGCTCCAGACAATGACTGTGAGGTGGGGGGGCACCCGTTGGGCGCAGGCTCCTCCCACATGACATCCTCGCACAAGAATGCAGGGGTGGGGGTGAGGGGCAGCTGAAAACTTTCCACAGCCTGTGATTCAGGCCCCGCAGAGATAAGTGGAAGGGTGGGGGGGGTCTCTCCAGGCGCCTCCCCTTCTCTGGAGGTGGGGATCAGGGTCCTGGCAGGCCTTGTGTGTGAAGAGCTGAGCAGGCCCCTGGTTGGGAGGGCCAGTTCCCTAGAAGGACATTTCACTTAGTTGGAGGGACCCTCCCCAATTGCCAGCCACCTATTGCCGTGGTTCTTCCTCCTTGTGATCCCTGCCCAAATCGGTTCCCCTGTGGCTGGGAATCCCCAGCCTGGCTCCACACTTAAAGCAGCTGCCTGACCGTCGCGCCGGAAACAGGGATGGTGACCACCAGAGACAAGTGCTTTCTGAGCCCTTTCTCTGCACCTCCTCTCTGTGCAGAGGTGCTGTTCTCCCTCCCATCAAATGGATGAGCAGCCTGAGGCTCAGAGAGGCCAAGAGGCCCGCCTGGAGTCACAGAGCTAGGAGGTGGCTGCCTCAGGATTTGAATCCTGGCAGCCAGGCTGCAGGAGGGTCAGGAAGTGGGGTGGGAAATGGGCAGTTCCTTTGGAATCCCTGATTCAGCTCCTGGCCCCTGGACAGTCCTGGTGCACGGGACTGGGGGCTTGGAAGGGGAAGTGGAGGAGGCGGGGTCTCCCCTCTGCTTGACCCTGTGTGGGCCCGTGGCCCAGATTCTCCCCCTGGGGCTTCTGTTGAGGATAAACAAGCCCACTGTGTGCAGGGTCTGGGCCGAGATAATATGGGGGAGGGGCATGGTGTGCCAAGGCCACCTGGCACCTCGTCCAGGTCACTTGGCCTCTCCCCAGGAAGCCGAGAGGATCCTGGAAAGAGTTAAGTGGGCAGTAGCCAGTGGGAGGCACCTCCCAGGTGCCTCTTATGGACAGGTGGGCACACTGCCCAGCCAGCTCCAACAGCTATGTCAGGAATGAGCCACTTCCCTCCAGCCCCCCCCGCCCTGCCCAGGGGACAGTGCAGTCACTCGGCTGGCCGCCATCCCCCAGGGCTTCCTGTGCGGGCATCACTGGTGGGGCCCCGGCTGGCGCCTCAGCCTGGGGAGATCGCCAGCCAGGTGAGCAGGTGGCCAGCAGCCGTGGCCAAAGGTTCAGCCCAGCAGCTGGGAGGCCAGCCCTTGGGGATGTCTCCTTCCGATTCCAGTTTTACTGTCTCTGAGCTTGTAGGGACACCCCATTCCTCACACCATGCTTAACATTTCACAAGCAAGATTTCCTTCATTCCTCAAAACAATCCTGAGAGGGTGAGGACTTTAGCCCCATTTTACAGGTGAGGAAACTGAGGCCCAGAGAGGAAACAGTGACCCAAAGAACAGGGACCCAGCCTAAGGAGGGCAGTGCACCATCCCCGGTCTTCCCTGGTGTGTGTCCTTCCACCCACAGCAGCGTGGCCTTGGCAAGTCCCCTCTGGGCCTCGTTCTTCCCATTTATAAAATGAGTAGATGGGCCAGGAGCTGAGAAGGGACTTGGCCCCTGGAAATCAGAGCCAGCCCTTGTGGCTTTGAGCTGTGGCTCAGTCTGAGCTGAGGACTGTACGACTCACTGTGTGTGGTCAGGAGGGGGGTCCAGCACTGGCATCCTGAGTGGCCCAGGCCTAGCCCAGAGTCCACCGTGAAGGGGACAGCTCTGGTGCAGCTGGTCCTTAGGCAGGGTGGCCTTGGACCCTGGCCCAGCTGTTTGCAGGACCCTTGCTTCGTGGGGACCTGGCCCAAGGGGGCTCCCAGGCTTGTCCCCGCCCTGGGGAGGGCCGCAGGCCTTATTTCTATGGCCTGCAGAGGCAGCCCCCACCCCACCCCATGTGGCTCTGACCTTGGTGTCCTGGCAGCCGTCCCTCCCTCGGCTCACACTGTGGGGAGCCTGGGTGCTGGCAGCTCCACCGGGCAGGCCCGCCCCTCCCTCCTTCCCCGGAGGTGAGTGGGTCCCCAGAGCGGAAGGAGGCAGGAGGGCAAACAGGAGATAAGAGGCTGAGTAGGGGGAGGAGGAATGTGCCACAGATAGCTCCCCGGGTGTGTGTGACAGGGGCAGGGTGCTGGCAGCAACGGGGCCCTGGGGACAGACCCCCTCTGCAGGAACAGCAGGGCCTGAAGTTATCAGTCCCCCCGTTTGCTGGGTCAATAACTCACAGGTCACCAATTTACTGCCATCAGGGCGTAGAGACAAAGTCCAGGCTCCACATCCTTGGCCTGAGGTGGTGCCCGTGGTCACTCACTGGGCCTGGCGTGGGAAGGTGACTAGCTCTAGGCGAATTGCCACTGTGACCTCTTAACCCCAGGACCTTGCCACCTGAGGCCTAGGAGGTGGCCAGGCTTGGGGGGAGGGGTTCTACTGGGGGCTGGGCTTGCGTCATGCAGAGGGTGGCTGTCCCTGAGTCACCCCACGCTGCCACCTGAGGGGCGGGCATCAGGAACTGGAAAAACTGGGGTACAGCCCTAGGTGCAGCCGCTGTGCCCCAGTTCCCCTGCTCGGAGTGGCCGGGGCCTGCCAGGCAACTGGGGCCACAGACGCTCCACACAGGTGTGCCAGGGTGTGCCAAAGCCAGGCTCTTGTGCCAGGCAGGTGGGCGTCCAAGCATATGCCCCCCGGGGGTCCCCTGGGTGTTGAGACACTGCTCACCTCCGTGGCCCCAGAGCACATGCTCAGCTGCAGCGGTAGGTTTTGCCCTTGATTCATTCACTCACGTCTCCATCACGCCATCCAAGAGACCCTGGCTGAGATCCGGCCTGTGCCAGACCCTAAATCATGCTCCCTTCCTGCTCCCGGGAGGGCGGGGGAGGGGGTCTGCCAGTCTCAAAGAGGATCCTAATATGTGCAGAAATGATTTCAAATGACACGCGAAAGCCAGGCTGTGAATTCCCCTGGAAACGAAAGATGTTTATCTGTGTCGTCACGTATCCCAGCACCCAGCTCTGTGCCAGGCTCGTAGGACGTGCTCCTTTCTGTTTGGTAAACATGAGATTGAGTAACAGATGCCCTGATGGGGCCTACGGGGGCCAGCAGTGGGGCAGTCTGGGAGGCGGTGTAGGGAAGCTGAAGCTGGGTATTGAAGGGTGCATAGGAGTTTGTTGGTCGCCCAAGGAACAGTGGGTGGTGTGATTCTCTCCCCATTCGCCTGCCCAGGATGCCAGGTTGGAGGCTCACTGGTGTTCTACTCTGGGACCCCCCAAGCACTGGCAAACTCCTGACAAGCCTGGGGAGATCCCGGTCTTTCGGGGTTGGAGGAGGGGCAGCACATTCTCATCAGGCAAGCACATGCCCCGTTGACGCCGCCGCCTCTCCACTGCATTATCTGGCACATCCGCAGCGGAAATCTCTCCAAATTCCCTCTTTCCTGCCGGCAGCAGGCAGGCCACCCCCAGGCTCTGGAGCCAGGGAATGGAACCCATCTCTTCCCCCACTTCCTCCTCTTGGCCTCCGGTGAGGGGCTTGAGAGCACAGGGTGGCCAGTGGGGGCAGGTGGGGGCTTGCAGGTGTCTGGGGCCCTGGGTGGAACTGACCCTGAGCCATGGGGCTTGTGGTGCACTCGCTGGCAGGTGATCCAGGGCTGGGAAGGGGTGACTGTGGTTCCAGGGGCTGGACATGCTGCCCCAGGCCTCTACTCTGCTGGACCTGGACCAAGGGCCAGCACTTACCTGGAAGGCAGGTGCCTCAGTGGACAAGTCAGGGCATTTGTGGGAGTTGCAACCCCAGGATAGAGACAGCTTAGCTTCTGGGAGTCTCATTTTTTAAACTTGGAAGATTTGGCGGAAGAGAGAGCTGTTTATATGTGGTGGGGAGGATGGAAAGTACACATGGATTTCTTAAATCCAACAGGAGATTTTGAAAGACATTTGGGAGGCCACATTAGCTAACCCCCCCAGCCGGGAGTCTATGCTCTTCCACACGCAGATGTGCCCAGTTGGAGGGGATCTGAAATGAGTCCTGGATTTTTCTGGCTGTCAAAGCAGGTCAGGGCTCGACTCCTCTCTCTTTGGGCTTATTGCAAAGTGTTGATTTTTTTTTTCTTTTCTCTTTTTTTTTCCTGAGCTAAATGTTTTATTTATTTTTTCTTTCTTTTTTTATTTGTGCATTACAATTCTTAATTCACCTTTATACCACAATTGCTCAAATTGGTGTTGATTTCTCTTAACTCCAAGTGGAGGCGTTCCTGGGCAGGGAGGCGGGGAGGAGAGAGGTCAAAGCCAGGCATCCTGGGTTTACATTTGGATTTCGTATCTTGGTAGCTTGGAGACCTTGGGCAAGTTGTTCTGCCTCTGAGCAGCACTTTTCTCACCTGAAGAATGGGGTGCGTGTTGGTGGCCGTGGTAACAGGTGTATTGTGAGGACTGATGGACGTGAGGTGCTTGGCCCAGACCCTGCACACAGTGGGCGATTCATGAATGCTCACTGTCCTGGGGGTTCCCAGCTTTGCAGAGATCAGGCATCGTTTCTGGGCCTCCATGGCCCGGCTGCGTGTCCCCAGCCCCCTGGTGCCCAAACTCTCAGCCTGTGCTTAGGCAGAGGGGATAGGAGAGGCTGTTCGTGTGGTCCCCAGGCCAAGGTGGCTGTGGCTGGGCTGCCTCAAGGGATGGCCAAGGGCTGGGTGCAGCCCAGTTCCAGTTGGACTTGGAAGTCACAGTCTAAGAACTTACGGAGCTTCTGCCCCCTGCCTCTGTTCCCCTGCCTGTCTCTGCTCACACAGGGCACGTGCAAAGGGGGCGCGGCCCCACTCTGCAGCCCAAGGGCGAGCTGCCTGGGATGCTCAGAGGTGCCCGTAGGCCAAGTCGCCCCATTTCTTTTCTGCAGTACTGGGAATTGAACCCAGGGCTTCGCACGTGATAGCCAAGAGCGCATCACCTCAAGCAGGCCAGGACGCTTGACACTGGCTTCCCTGGAAGGGTTGTCCTTAGGCCATTACAGGCCAGGCTGCCCCAGATCTTAGGGAGCCTCTGTCCAAGAATTTTTCCTGACAGCACAGATCGACTGTCAATCACTTCCAACATCAGCCCTCCAGTGGCTTCCATTTCCCCACTTCTTGGCCCAGCATTCAGGGTCACTCTTGAGTGCTCTGTAGCCTGCTGCTCATTCCATTTGTGTCCACAGAGCTGCTCGCACCTTCTCTATTGGGCATGTCCTTTCACACCCTAACTCCCTCCCACAGTATCTCTGTGCTGCGGACTCCTATGCAGCCTCTAAACCCTAGCTGGAGTGTCCCCTCTGAGATTCCTCAGATTCCTGACCTAGGTCATTTCCCTTCTCTGTCCCATTAGCTCACCTCTTTATTATGGACATCGTCACATGCTCCCAGAGCTGGGGGACGGGCTTTGTTTTCATCCCAGGTCCATGCTCAGCCTGGGGTCAGGCCTCTGGGAGCGCTGGATAGGCGTGGCACCTAGGGTGGAGGTGTCTGCGGATAGGCGAAGGGTGGTATTGTAGGGGTGTGGGGGGAGGTCTCCGGGCGACCCCACTCTGGTCCCTTCCGCATCCACCCAAGCCCCTGACAGTGGGCTATGTCTGAGCTGCTTCCTGCCTGTGGGGTCAGGAGGGGGCTTGGGGCAGGGACAGGAGAGGGCAGTGGGAGGAAGAAGCCCTCGGTCAGGTGCAGGAGCCCCCGGCCAGCTGGGCCAGGATGGAGGCGCCACTGGGGGAGGAAGAGCTGCTTCCTGGCTGCCCTGTGAGCGGTGGAAATGACTCGGCCCTGGAAACAGGTCCAGGGAAACGCGAGGGGCTGGCCTCCCTGCTTCCTGGTGGGCCGCCCCGGAACGGGCAAGGTGGCCGGGCCCTGGGTCGGGGGAGCCCCTGAGGAGTGGCATCCTGAGCCGTGGAGGCCGGCTGGTCAGGGGGGTGGGGGTCACGGTCCGTCAACTGACACGATGGAGAAGCGGATGCAGTTGCTTCCCTGGTCAGCTCGGAGCTGCCTGGTGGCCGGCGGGCGGTGACCGTCTGGTTGTGCCTATCAGGGGTGACGAGGCGGGCGGGCAGTGTGCTGCGAGGTGCTGAGCCAGCACGTGGCAGGGTTCTTAGGGCGCCGCCATGGACCTTGGATGCCAGCACAGGGTGTGGCACCTCCTGAGTTGGTGGGGACTGTGCCAAGGTTTGGGGACACAGGCCAGGATCCTGCTAGTGTCCCCTGCGCCGGGTGCTGGCACATTTCTTCTCATCCAAAGACATTTTGAGAAAACAGGTCCACGGAGGAGGGGTGGAGGGGGACCCATGGGGAGGGACACCTCCGGTTGATGTCCTTGTGCCCTCTGTCCCTGTGCCATCAGCCTGTTCACCGGGATTCTTCAAGCCCGAAGCCTCCGAGAGACCCTGCTTGCCGTGCCCGGCACACACCCTGCCGTCCCCCGAAGGTGCCAGCTCCTGCGAGTGCGAGGAGGGCTACTTCCGGGCGCCCGAGGACCCGCTGTCCATGCCCTGCACACGTGAGTCCTTCTGCCGGCCGGGGAGGGCGGGCGGGCCGGGATGACCGGGGCTGATGTCAGCTGCCCCCTCCGCAGGCCCGCCCTCCGCCCCCCACTACCTCACAGCCGTGGGCATGGGCGCCAACGTGGAGCTGCGGTGGACACCACCCCAGGACAGCGGGGGCCGCGACGACATCATCTACAGTGTCACCTGTGAACAGTGCTGGCCGGAGACCGGCCAGTGCGGGCCCTGCGAGGCCAGCGTGCGCTACTCAGAGCCCCCCCACGCGCTGACGCGGACCAGCGTGACGGTCAGCGACCTGGAGCCCCACATGAACTACACCTTTGCCGTCGAGGCCCGCAATGGTGTCTCGGACCTTGTGACCAGCCGCAGCTTCCGCACGGCCAGTGTCAGCATCAACCAGACAGGTGAGTCCCAGGGGTGGTGGCTGTGCCCTGGGGGAGCCTGCCCAGGTGGCAGAGGACAGCCACCCAGGGCTCAGCTGCGTTCCAGAGATAGGCAGCAGAACAAGAAGTTGAAAACACTGTCTCTGGAGCCACTTCCAAGCTCTGTGACCGTGGGCAAGTTACTTAGCCTCTCTGGGCCCCAGTTTTCTCATGTGTGAATTGGGCATGATAATGACGATTGAAAGGATTGAACAAACTATTATCTTTAAGACTCTTAGAGCAGAGCTTGGTTCACAGCAATTATTTAATTTTCATTATTTGTGTACTAAATACTCAGAGGGCACTTCTGTGCCAGCCCCTGGGGTGGGGCCTGGGGCTCTGTGATCTGCTCTGGAGCTTGCCTTTAAGGACTCAGGGTGGGGTCTGGGAGCCTGGGCTTTGGGGGCAGCTGGTCCTGGGCCCGCTGGTTCTCTGTCCCCTGTCCCCCGGTGGCTCCTCACACCCTTCCCCACTCTCTGCCTGCCCAGAGCCCCCCAAGGTGAGGCTGGAGGGCCGCAGCACCACGTCACTCAGCGTCACCTGGAGCATCCCCCCGCCACAGCAGAGCCGAGTGTGGAAGTACGAGGTCACCTACCGCAAGAAGGTAACCCACTGAGGGTCCGCGCTAGGACGGGGTGGGCTGGTCACGTAGATGTCCACACCCACGCCATCTGGAGGGACTCCCCTCTGCAGCTGGGAAGCAGGTCTGGGGTCTCCCAGGGCGGCTCAGCAGAGATGTGTAGACGTGCTCTAGATCCTGGAAGCAGCGGTCAGGGAGGGAAGGCCTCCGGGATCAGCCGGCTGGACGGTGTCTCGGGGTGCTGAGCGGAGGTCCTGCAGTGGCCTCATTGCCTGCTCCCTGCCTGCCTGCCACCCACAGGGGGACTCCAACAGCTACAACGTGCGCCGCACTGAGGGCTTCTCTGTGACCCTGGATGACCTGGTTCCTGACACCATCTACCTGGTCCAGGTGCAGGCGCTGACGCAGGAGGGCCAGGGCGCTGGTAGCAAGGTGCATGAGTTCCAGACGCTGTGTGAGTCGGGGGCCCCGGGCACGTGCCAGACTAAGGCTCTGAAACCGAGCCATCGGGACATGGGGTGGGGGTGGATCCAAGAGGCGAGAAACTCGTGTCTCCTGGTCAGCTGGAGCCTGGGACAGCCCTGCATGGGCTGCCTCCCGGTGGGAGAGGGCAAAATTGAGGTTGGGGCGTGGAGGACCAGGGAGGTGCATTCAGGCTGTGGGCTCTGGCGTTGGAGACCTGAGTTCAGATTGTGCACCACGGACGGAGCCAGAGCTGAGTCCCCATGCAGGGGAGTCCCTGCCACGAGGCCCCGGGGAGGCCCCGAGCTGGCTGTCCATGGGAGGGAAGAACATGTCCTCAAGGGCCTCAGGATTACTCTTGCGGCCAGCACATAGAGACCCCGGGTGTCCTAGGTGCCTGCAGTGGTCTTGGGTGCAGCAGGGGAGTTTGCATGATTTGGGTGGGGGGGCCCCCTGTCATCAGCTGGTCTTTCCTGCAGCCACAGAAGGTTCTAGCAACATGGCAGTGATTAGCGGTGTGGCTGTTGGCGTCTTCTTGCTTCTGGTGCTGGCAGGAATCGGCTTCTTCATCCACCGCAGGTTGGTCAGAGCCCACACCCAGGTCCCCGAAGGCTGGGGGAGGATTCAGGGCAGGAACCTCAGTTTCCTCCTCTGAGGAGTGGGGCTGAAGCTAATCTAGTCCAGTGCCTTGCAGTCCCCAGCTCCTGGGTGACGTGAAGGTGTGCCGAACCAGACACGCCAGGCAGGTGCCTGGCACCACAGGGGCTCAGGACATGGTGGGTAGCCGCCCTGCAGGAGGCCTAGCAGCCCTGATGAGAGAAGCCCTTGTTATGGCCACTTATGGGGCCATTATGGGGCGTGGATCCCAAAGTGTGAGTCCCGACTGGCTCATTTCCTCCGGTTCCCCACGCCCAGTGCCCGCAGGGGGCTCCCCCGGCCCGGGCAGGCCTCTCTGACCTGTGTATCTGGGTCCCTGTGGGTTCTTTCAGGAGGAGGAGTCTGCGCGCTCGCCAGTCCTCAGAGGACGTCTACTTCTCCAAGTCAGGTGAGATGCAGCCCACCCCGTGCCGGCCTGTCCCCTCCCCAGGACACCCCCTCAGCTCTGTGCAGAGCTGAGGGCAGCCAGAACGTCCTAGGGCTCTGGGTGGGCACAGAGGCATCATCCGGCAGCTCTCAGGGCTCTTCCAGAAGGCCTGTGCCCCAGGTCCCTGGTCACGTGGCTTCTCCCTTCTCCTTTAGGGACTTGGCCTCCTGGGCGTTCTGTGACCCCGCCCCTTCTCTCCCCTTCCAGAACAGCTGAAGCCCCTGAAGACGTACGTGGACCCTCACACATATGAAGACCCCAATCAGGCTGTGCTCAAGTTCACCACCGAGATCCACCCGTCCTGTGTCACCCGGCAGAAGGTGATCGGAGCAGGTCAGCTGGCACACCTGTCACCAGGGGAGGCGGGCAATGGGTGATTCGGGTGGGGCCATTTGGCACCCAGGCTGACCAGGAGGTCCCCTACCTTGCCCCCACCCACAGGAGAGTTTGGGGAGGTGTACAAGGGGACCCTGAAGGCGTCCTCGGGGAAGAAAGAGGTGCCCGTGGCCATCAAGACCCTGAAGGCAGGCTACACAGAGAAGCAGCGCGTGGACTTCCTGAGCGAGGCCAGCATCATGGGCCAGTTCAGCCACCACAACATCATCCGTCTGGAGGGCGTGGTCTCTAAATGTGAGACTTGGGGGACCCTAGGGGCCTGACACAGGGTGGGGGCAGAGGGACTGCCTCAGGGCCACCCGACCCTAGCCGTGCCCACCTGGCCCACACATCTGGCCTGCCTGCCTCTCACCCCTGTGCCCACACCCCGCAGACAAACCCATGATGATCATCACGGAGTACATGGAGAACGGGGCCCTCGACAAGTTCCTCCGGGTAAGGACGTGGGCAGTGGCGGGCGAGGATGCTGAGCCGGGGTGCTGGGGGTGCCCTGGTGGCTCAGGGCCACATGGGAGCTGAGGGCCTGTGCCTGGGCAGGAGAAGGACGGCGAGTTCAGCGTGCTGCAGCTGGTGGGCATGCTGCGGGGCATCGCATCGGGCATGAAGTACCTGGCCAACATGAACTACGTCCACCGCGACCTGGCCGCCCGCAACATCCTGGTCAACAGCAACCTGGTCTGCAAGGTGTCCGACTTCGGCCTGTCCCGCGTGCTGGAGGACGACCCCGAGGCCACCTACACCACCAGTGTGAGCTGGGAGAGGGGCCGTCACTGTGGGGGCTGGGGGGGCGGGGGGTGAAGCAGCCTTCACACTGCCCCAGAGGCCTGGCCAGAGGGACAGCGGTGACTGGGCCTGTCCTCTGCAGGGCGGCAAGATCCCGATCCGGTGGACGGCCCCTGAGGCCATCTCCTACCGCAAGTTCACCTCGGCCAGCGACGTGTGGAGCTACGGCATTGTCATGTGGGAGGTCATGGCCTACGGCGAGCGGCCCTACTGGGAGCTGTCCAACCACGAGGTGGGGGCCCTTCCCAGGCTGAATGGACCCCAACCCTCTGGATGTTCCCAAATCCTAGGGCCCAGGCAGAGGAGGGAGGCTGGGGCTGTGCCAGGGCTCATGCTGGGCGCCAGGCCCTGGTCCCTGCCTACAGTCCAGTGGGTACAGAGCCGAGGAAGCAGGAAGTGGGGGTGTGTGCACACGTGTGTGTGTGTGAGAGGGTGCACGTGTGTTTGCGTGTGTGTGTGTCCTGGTGCCTGGTTTCTGACCCAGGCATGATGAGGAGGAGCACCCCCGCCAAGGGAAGTCCAGAGGGAGGCTGGGCCACAGAGGCCACAGTGTGGCTGCCCTACGGGACCTTGCTGGGGAGCCGGATCTGCGGTTCCTTCCTCCAGGAGCCAGCCCCTGCGCCTGGCCCGTCCCTTCCTATCTCTGTGCCGGGGACGGGGGCAGGGGGTCTGTGCCCCAGGCTGCGGTGGCTTCCTGCCATGGCCACCCTGACCCTCCTTTGCCACCCAGGTGATGAAAGCCATCAACGATGGCTTCCGGCTGCCCACACCCATGGATTGCCCCTCGGCCATCTATCAGCTCATGATGCAGTGCTGGCAGCAGGACCGTGCCCGGCGCCCCAAGTTCGCCGACATTGTCAGCATCCTCGACAAGCTCATCCGCGCCCCTGACTCCCTCAAGACCCTGGCTGACTTCGACCCCCGGTGAGTCCCATGCCCTTTGCCCGTGGTGACCCCCAACTTCACTCCTGGGGACTCCTGAGCCACTTAGGTGTAGTGGGCAGCTGGGGGGAGTCAGGGGCAGCAAGGAGGGCTCAGGAGGTACGCTTGGGCTTCCCTTGGGCTAGACGGGGTTGTCTCTGGTGAGTACCAGCCTCCTCGATGCCGTGTGCACCCCTCAGCGCCCAGCATGCTTTACCTCCTGGGGACAGGTCCTGTAATGATCCCCTTTGTGTAGATGAGGAAACTGAGACAGCGATTAAATATCTTTTGTGGCTGGCAAGTGGCCAGGCTGGGGTTGTGACTCCAGGACCCTGAATCTCTGCCCCTTACGCTTTGTGATTTGGGGCTCCTGACGGTGGTCTTGTTGGTAGGATCAGGGGAACCACAGTAGAGACAGCTGTGGACCGACCACTACCGATGTGCCACCGTCTCCTGGAACCCAGACTGGCTGGGCTTCCCTATTGCCCAGATGAGGAAACCTGCTCAGGCAGCTGTGTGAGCTGCCCAGATTAGGGGGCAGCAGGGCTGGGGCCTGGGACAGGCTGGGTGCTGCAGCCTCTCACCTGCACGCGGGCGGTTCCCCTTCCAGGGTGTCCATCCGGCTGCCCAGCACCAGCGGCTCAGAGGGGGTGCCCTTCCGCACGGTGTCCGAGTGGCTGGAGTCCATCAAGATGCAGCAGTACACAGAGCACTTCATGGCAGCTGGCTACAATGCCATCGAGAAGGTGGTACAGATGACCAGCGAGTGAGTAGCACCCACGGCCCCGCCTCCCTCCTGGAGGCTGCCCGGACACCCTGTCCACATCCTCACCCTCCCGCCCGCCTCCCTTGCTGCTTCTGTCTCTCCCTGGGGGGGAGGGGCTGGGCAGGAAGAGCAGAACAGGCTGGCTGCCAGTGGTTCTGGGGTCCACCCTCCACGCCCACCCTTCCTGCCTCTTTCTCCAGAAAGGGAAAATAACAGTTAATGTCACAATAGCATAGCCACCAGCGGCGGGCTGACTGCAGGCCAGCTCTGGGATGGAGCCGTTGGACCCAGTCCTTACTAGGACGGGGCAGTAGGGCCTATCCACGTCTCCGCCAGACAGAAGAGACAGGTACAAGAGAAAGTTCCTGCCAGCGGCTCCCGGGCACTGTCCCCATGTGGTGGCTCTCAGCCCTGCAGAGGCTTGCCAGTCCTGGGTCTGCCCTCTGTCTGGCTGCCCCTCCGGACTCTCCTGCCCCCTGCACTCCAGCACCATGACTTCCCAGCACAGCCTTGGCAGGGCCACCTCTTCCGGTCCCTGCAGGGAGAGGACATTATGCTCTTAGCCTTCTGTGCCTCTAAAAATAGTAGTGGGTCCCAACAGCTCTGATTGTGCAGCGTCCAAGGTCTCATCAAGAACAGACCCTGGCCCGGGAGGTTTTGGGAACCACTTGGAGGGGATGACCTGGCCTCCCACAGTTCTGGATCACAGAAGTCCTGGGACTTGGGTCTCTGCATGAATATTCTCTAGGGCTTCTGGAAGCTGCTCAGTGGGGCTTCCAGCCTGCTGGCTGTGTCCTGCCCCAGGGGGACGTCCTGCAGTGGGAATCAGGCAGGGACAGAGCTAACCAGAGGGAGGTGCAGAGACATGGGAAGGAGACACAGGTCCCTGGGTCTCTCTCACTGCCAGCCAAGGGCAGGCACACACTTGGGCTCTGTGGTCACCCCTGGGTTCAAGTCCCATCTCTCCCTCTTCCTAATCACCTTGATCCTATTAAGTCCACTTTGACCTGGGTGGCCATTTCCTGCTGTGGGGCCTGCATGGGTCTGAGGTGGGTGGACATGCCCAGCACCTAGTGAGGGCTTAGCTGGGGTCTCCTTGTCCACGTCTCCCTGGCTTTCTGCCTGTAGACCATGGTCAAATAAATACCCAGGTTCCCGAGCTCTCTCCTCCCTGGGAACCTGGGCCAGGCTCCTTGGCCCCTCCAGGGATCCCCCTGGAGGACAGCACAGCTTCTCTCCTGGTGACCAGAGCGGAGGGCGAGAAGTCCTTACAGGAAACACATGTTCTTAGAAACGTCCCAAAATAGCCTGGGGTGCTCCTGGCCAATTCCTTTCCCACGAGCAGGGACAGGGCTCTCTGGGATGGACAGAGGCCGTGTGCTCACGTGTGTGTGTGGTTTGGAAGGACCTGGATAAAGCAGGGACTCAGCCGGCACCCCGTCGTCCTCCCGCCAGCCTGCCGGGGTACTGGGCCCGTGGGACTCACAGCCGCGCAGACTCCCCAAGGAGATGGGGATCCCCACACAATTTTACAAATCTGCAGTGTGTTGTGTCCACGGCGTAGACCTCACGGGAGCTGGTGGCAGGGGCACGGGGCCCTGGCCTGGTGGGCTCGCGCTTTGGCTTCCTGTCCCTGGCCCCCGCCTCTCTGCTCCCTCGGCCCCTCCCCAGGGCCTGCTGCTCGCTCCTGCCCGAGTGTCTGGCTAGACAAGGAGTGATGGGACGTACACGCCCCCAAATTGCCCAGCCCGACAGCAGGTCCTGCCCAGTGTCAAGGCGACAGTGAGCAGTGCCCTGTGTGTGGCCGGGCCACAGGCCACAGCCCCGGGACAGGCTCTGCAGGAGGAACAGCACAGGGAGAGTGGTTGAGTGACTTGCAGGCGCCGGGGGCCATTCCTCGTGTCCCCCTCCTAGACTCAGAGCCACATGCCATAGATGTGCATTGGGTAGGTGGCCTGGGAGTTTCCTGGCCAGAGCTGGCATTACGAGTGCTCAGGAGGTGGCCCAGCGAGGTGTCACCTTGCTCCGTTCAGGAAGCTGGTGGAGGGCTGCCCAGCATCGGGGACCCCCGCTGGCAGGACAGGCTCGGGGCGTCTGCCGTGGGTCACTAGCTGGTCCCAGGGCCTTGCTCTGTTCGCGGTTAGGAAAGGAAGGAGGAGGGGCTGGGCTGCTCTCAGGAGAGGCTCGCTGACCCTCCCTTTTTACATGTAAAGACCCAGGACAGACCCACCCGGGGCTTCTGCCTCCCAAATGGGGTCAGAGACCACTCAGCCCCCGGGAGATGAGCCTGCGCTGCTCTGACGGAGGAGAGGAGCCCGAGATGGGCTGGGCAGTGGCTCCATCCTCACAAAAAGCACTCATCTGCTCATTCTGTGCTCAGCAGGTCCTCCCTGAGGACCTGGCATGTGCCAGGACCCCTGGAGGGGCGGTATGGGGGTGCCAGCCTCCGTACGTGTCTAGGAGCTCACAGATTCTGGTGGTTCTTAGATTGAGTGTCAGTGTCATCTGGGACCCACATGCAGACTTCAGCACTTTAGCTACCCAGGATCCTGACTTTTCTGGGGATGCCACCTCCCCAGGTGTTCTCAATAAGTGCTTTTCCAGCATCCACACTATAACACCTCTAGGGGTGGGAAAGTGCTCCTAGCTATGTAGGTTTAAAGTGTCATTCAGGTGGTAGGTTTGGAAGTTGTCCTTAAAATCTGACTTCTGGCTTTCTTGCTGCAGCATGAGCAGCCACCTCCCTCACCTGGGTCTGCCCTTCCCTGCTCAGCACTTCTCAGAGGGGAGCCTGTGGGAAAGTCATGTCTCCGGAACTGCAAATAGGAGCTTGCACCATATAATTAGCTTCGTTTACAGCCAAGAGACGGCTGTAAAAACCTGGGTGTTTTCATGGGTTTGGGCTGGCGGGTGAGGAGAGCAGGGGAGAAAACTCCCAAAGTTAGCAATAAACGTCCTGTTGCGGGTTGCTGGGAGCCTAAGTGGTTTTACAAGGGGACGGCGGGCGTGACCGGGGAGAGGCAGGAGCCTGCACCTCTCTCGGGTGGGAGGGGAGGGGAGGCCGGCACTCCTGGGAACAGCTTCCCACCTGGCACTGAAGCTGCGCCCTCTGCTGTCCCTGGGGTCTCCCGCCTGCCATCGGGCACTGCCATCCCCTTTCACAGGGGAGGGAATCAGGGTGCACACCAGGGAAGACACCGGCCTCAGGCGACCTGGTCACTCTGCCCGTCAGAGCTTTAATGCTGATGGTCCTTCAGCAAGTATATCCTGAGCCCTTCCTCAGCTGCCTGCGGGGAACTTGAAATGAGGCGATGGACAGATAGGAAGAGACCTTGAGCGGAGGAGGGCTTTGTGCAATGGCCTTCGAGGGTCCCTGGAAACCAGTCACCTGGCAGTGGCCTCCTGCCACCTGGAGAAGGGGCCTCGGCTCCCCACTGGTTAATACCCAGCTCTTTATCACTAGAGAGCTGTGTGACCTTGGGCAAGTCACTCCACTTCTCTGAGCTTCAATTCCTAAATCGGCAATAGGGAGCTAAAACGAGCACCTACCTCAGAGATAATTGTGAAGTTTGATTAGATTAAAAACAGGCAGAGTGGGCACTTCAGTCATTTTCCTAACTTTGATGATGATAGGCCATCTTAGATCCTCTCAGGATCTCTTCGGGCCTCCCTGACGGGAACTCTGTCGCCCACAGGTCCCCTGGTTCTCCTCCTTGTTTCCCCTACCCTCCCTGCCCCGTCCACCTCCCTCCGCAGCTCTGGCCCCTAACTCTCCCTCTCCCTCTCCCTGCCTGCCCGCAGAGACATTAAGAGGATCGGGGTGCGGCTGCCTGGCCACCAGAAACGCATTGCCTACAGCCTTCTGGGACTCAAGGACCAGGTGAACGCCGTGGGGATCCCCATCTGAGCCGCGGCCTGGTGCACCCTCGGCCGAGAGTACTTGAAGGATCCAAATGGCCCCCCTGCCGGCTCTGCAGTTGACCACCAGGGACCTTATTTATTTCTAGTTGTTCTTATTGATGCCCCCCTGAGGACTCTGCTGGGGGGTCATGGAGGACATCCTGCCCTGAACTGATGAGACCCTCGGGGATGCTGGCTGCAGCCTCGTCCCCAGTGAGGGACACGGCCCAGCACTTAGCAGGCACCATCAAGTTCCCAGCATGCCCCCGGGCAAGCCCCACCGAGACCTTGGACATCCACGAGGGACATTCCAAACTGACCCCCACTTTGCCTCCTCCCACCTGGTAGAAGCCACCTTGGGAGATGGGGGTCAGCCCTGGCCACGTGAACAGGTGGCCGCCTCAAGGCCCACCCCTCGCTGTACGAGGGCAGACCTTGAACTTGGCTGGGTGAGAGCCACAGTGGTGCTCCGTCCCTCGGGCCTTCTGCAGACCCCAGGCCCTGTCCTCAGCCCTAACAGGCCAATCTCTTGCTCTCCTGGGCCCTTTCGGGACGCTTGGTTGTGTTGAGGTTTTTTAAATCTATATTTTGTACTTCACGGAGAGAGTGCGCGTGTGGCAGGGGCCCTGCAGGGCTGGGGGCAGAGGGGCCTGGTGGACGCGGCGGGCGCCCGTCCACCCCGTCTCCCGCCCCCTAGACGACATTCCCACATTGTCAGTGTTAATGACCTTGTTTTGTTGGATATTTTTTGAAACCTTAATTTATTATTTTTTTTATATTTATTGTTAGAAAATGACTTATTTCTGCTCTGGAATAAAGTTGCAGATGTTCAAACCGATCTTGGCTCTCGGCCTTGGGAGCGGGCTGGGGATCCAGAGGCCTCCTGTGTGGGGTGTCGGGCAAGGGCTCCCCACTAACCCCGGGTGTTTAGACAGAGCTTCTTGCGTAAGGCAGGCATGTCGTGTCACTGGGAACGGGGGTGGGTGGGAGGTGGGCAGGGGGCCAGGGAGCAGGCCCCGCCAAGCCCGGCCTCCATGCCAGCAGGCCTCAGTCACCTTTGATCTCCAGGCTTTGGCCGGGCCAGGCAGGCACTAGGCAGGCGCGCAGTGGGGGCAGCTGCCGGCCTCCCTCCCACACGGCTCCACGGAGTTGTTGGAAGAGATTCTTCAGCGGCGCTCAGAGGTTTACAGAAGTTTTTCACAGGTTTTGTCTTGTCGGAGCTTCAGCGACCTGTGACGGGTTTTGTGGGTGGCCCCATTCTACAGGAGAGGCAAACTGAGGCCGAGCCCAGTGAACAGGCTTGCCCCAAGGCCACACAGCAAGTGAGGGGCAGAGGCCAGATGGCAAGCAGAGCTGGGAATCCCACTGAGATGCTTTTCTCACAGAGGGGACCAAGGGATGCTGGCCGGGGCCTCGTCCCCTGCAGAAGACACAGCAGAGTCTTTGGACTTTCCAAACTGACCTCCCCCTTGCCTTCTCCCACCCACTAGAGCCACCTTGGGAGATGGGGGTCAGCCCTGGCCGTGTGAAGAGGGCACCTCAATCCCCCAATCCCAGTCCCAACCTCTCCCTGCTGCACCCGGCTGCTGCCCTGCGGGACAGAGGCTGTGGGAAGCAGAGCTCGGGAAGGTGTTGAACACAGGCCACCAGGGAAGGGCCAGGCGCACGGAGACGATCTGGAGGAAGGCTTCCCGGAGGAGGCAGCCCCAGGGCTGAGGCTGAGGGACTGGGAGGGATCGGCCAGCGAGGCCGTGGGAGGGGCGAGGCTGGCAGGGCAGGTGCGGGGCGTGCAGCCAGGGTTGTGCAAGGGACCCGCCGGCAGCCTGGCGTTCTGAAGTCGTGACACGGGTTCTGCCGAATTCGCCAAGGTCTTGCAGGGCAGGTCCAGGAGTGGGATTTTGCTTGAGGGTAATAGGGAGCCATTGCAGCCTTTAAGCAGCACGTGGCAGGATTCCCGTCCCTGGTAGAGGCAGCATCGACTCAGCCTGGAGTCGTGGGGGACAGGACAGATGCTGCTTGCCCTGGGGTGGCAAGGCCTGCACTGCCCAGCTCCCTGCTGGGTGAGACTTTCCTGGGTCGGGTGTGGCTGGGGCTGGGCAGGGTGAGAGAGGTCAGGGCAGCTGGCCTTCCTCCCCTCTCACTAGTGCTGGGCCACCAGGTGGGCTGGCATGGTGCTCAGCAGAACTTCCTGGGGCCTCACCCTTGCCTGGCCTGGTTCAGGTAGCCACTCTACCTCTGGCTGGACAAGGGCCACAGAGCTGTTGGTCCAGCAGGGGGTCAGCCCGTTCCTGAAGCCACCAGGCCGCTGAGCTCATCCCCACTGGTGAGCAGGCACGGTCGAGGAAGGGCTGGGCCTGGCAGAGGCAAGTCCCGTGCTCCCTCCCGCTCCCTCACAGCCCTGCTGGACCTGAGGCCCTCCGTGGGGCCTGGGAGCCCGCACAAGCCTAGAGGCCACAGACGGACCCTGGACTCAAAGGCAGCTCTCTCTAGTTCCCCAGAGACCCCACAACTGGCTAAAAGGGAAACTTTAAATTTTTAAATTGAAGCAAACTAAGCTGTGTCCCCTAGAAGGCCGGAATGCAGTGACACCCCTCTAATAACATGCACACCCAGCCCCAGACCTGGGCTCCTCCACACGCTTCTCCAACAGACGGAACCAGGCCCCCTGGGAGAGATGGCCGAGCCCGGGGTGAAGCACGCCCAAGGACCTGGGAGACTGAGGCTGGAGCAAGTTCCAGAGCCTGTCTCCAAATAAAAACAAAGAAGGGCTGAGGATGTAGCTCAGTGGTGGGGCGCCCCGGGGTTCCATGGCTCAATCCCCAGGACTGCAAAAAAAGAAAGTCTGTAAGTACAGCAAGGGTTAAAATTTTTTAAAAAAATGGAAAAAGTAACTTTACAGCAGCAAAACCCAGCCAGCAGCTCGTGACCAAGTGATCCAAGTTCCCGTCACGAGTGAAAAAGCAAACAAGCCACCGAGGGCAGAAGGAGCCTGTGCCCGGGGCAAGATCGGGCATCAGCAAGCACCTGCCCAGGTCAGCTGGGCCCGACACTGCACCCAAGGGCTTGGCCTAGATCCTTTCATGACCCTCCAGGGCTGCAGCGGCTGGCTGAGCTTGCCAGGGCCACCAGCCCATGGGCAGCAGGAGGGAGCCCAAGTCAAGCCCTGGCGGTGCTGATCCAGCCCTTCGCCCCGCGCCACAGAGGCCTGGCTACACAGCTGGCCGCCGGCCTCCCTCGGCACCCAGGACCGGACACTGCCCTCCCTCCTGTCATGGGTGCCTCGCTAGCGGAGGTATGGGAATCACTAGTTCTGGGGACACTGAGGCCACACTGCCACAGACCCCAGACACCCGGAGTGTCTGTCCCTCTGTTCCTTCCCTCTGGTCACCTCCTGCTCTGTGCCAGGCCAGGCAGTGAGCCACAGAGTCGCATGAAGCCGCTCTCTGTCCACATGAGTCCAGTGGGGGCCACGGAGGCAGAAGAGGAGCCGGTGGAACAGAAACTGGGGGGTGCACCTGACCCAATCTGGAGGGTCCAGGCAGCTTCTTCGAGGAAGTTCCGTCCCAGACCAAGTGGGAGGCTGTCAGATGAGGGGACGGGAAATGTCAGGAGGAGGTTGGCCCTGCCTGATTCCAGGTCTGTGGGTAGGCCCCAGCCTCCCCTTCACACCTGGGAGGTGACCGGGACAGCCCCCCTCTGCCTCCACACCGGCTCTAGACCACCAGCCCTGCCACCAGCCGCCTCGGTCTTCACGGCTGGGAAGTGGGCCTGCAGTCAGGGCCCAGCAAAACCCTGACGGAGACAAAGGCAGCAATTAGAGAGCTCTGGGAGGGGACTCGCCCCTCCCTCCAGCCTCCCCATCTGGGTACAAGTCAAAACAGTTTCACCCGGAACCGGCCTTCCACTACCCAATTAATTAGCAAATCCTAGAGGAACCGGCCTGCTCTCTGCCCTTCCTCCCCACTCACACCCCCCAGCCCTGGCTGTGGCCCAGGATCTAGGATGGGCCCCGTGAGCCATAAACAGGAGCCCGAGGAGCACCTACTTGGAAAGCGCTTGGATCTGCAGCTCGGGCCTCTGGGCTGCACCCAGGCTGCGCATGACACTGATCACTCGTTCCCCGATACAGTTGGCCCCGCAATAAATATTTGCTCAATAAACAGATAAATAAAAAGGGAGAAGGACTGGCTAGGCTTGACCTGAAATCCTGGTGGTGCCCCAGGGAAGATTATTCCATGTCCGACCAGGTTTGGGGCGGGACTACCTGTGGGGCAGGTGGCTCAGCTCCTGCTGGCTGACCGGAACCACAGAAACAGAGAAGCCATCAAACATTTCTGAGCACCTACTATGTGCCAGTCACTGAGCCAGGCCTGAGACTCTTGTTTTTTTGGTACCAGGGTTTGAACCCAGGGGCACTTAACCCTGAGCCTCATCCCCAGCCCTTTTTATATATTTTATTTAGAGTCAGGGTCTCACTGAGTTGCTGAGGCTGGCCTTAACCTTGCAGTCCTTCAGCCTCAGCCTCCCAAGCCTCTGGGCTTATCGGTGTGCACCCCGGTGCCTGGCTTCATGTTGTCTTATTGAAGGTTTGTAGCCCTGCAAGGCATGGATTTACTCCCATTATTAGATGGGAACACTGAGGCTCAGCAAGGTTACAGTCATCAGACAAGGACCAGCTCATCTCACCGCCTAACGCGAAGGGGCAATTAGAAGCCTTGGGGGTTTAAGATCCAGTGGAAAGAGCCTGAGGCTGAAAAAGAAAGTTGTTTTTTTTTTTTTTTTGTGTGTGTGTGTGTGTGTGTGGTGGGGGCAGGTCCTGAGGTTTGAACCCAGGAGCACTGCCCTGCCAGAACTTCTTATTTTTCATTTATATATATATATATATATATATATTTTTTTTTTTTTTGCATTTTAAGGCTGCATCGCACTAAGCTGCTGAGGCTGGCTTCAAACCTGCGGTTCTCCTGCCTCGGCCTCCCCACAGCTGGGATTCCAGGGGTGCGCCACCACACCCGG